CACCTCCCCCCCGCCACCTCATCCACCCGCCTGCCCCCCCTGCAGGCCTTTGACGAGCTGCTGGTGCTCAAGCCGGGAGGCGTGTGCGTCTACTTTGGCCCCCTGGGCTATGAGTCGAACCAACTTGTCGACTATTTTTCATCCATCCCCGGGGTGGCGCCCATGCCTCCCAGGTGGGCCCGGGGCAGCGCCAGCTGGCGCCGGCTGCCTGCCACCTGCGTGCCTGCAGGCGGGGATGCTTGTCAGGAGGCGAGGAGCTGGGGGCTGCGTGTGGGACTGGTGTCGTCACGGAGCAGCACCGCGTCGTGGGCTCGCCGCATCTGCTCGCTTATCTTGCCAACCCGCCCCACCCCTTGCCAACCCGCCCTGCCCCGCCCCGCCCCGCCCCACAGGCACAACCCCGCCAACTGGATGCTGGAGCAGACGTCCCCCGCCTTTGAGAACAAGCTGGGCATCGACTTTGGGGAGGCGTACAGGAGCAGCGAGCTGGCCAGGCGAGCGCGCTGGCGCGTGTGTACGTTGTGCTGCGTCGTGGGCACCTGCCGCCACCCCGCTCCCCCTTTCCCGCCGCCGTCAGCTGGCAACGCCCCCACCCCGCCCCGCCCCGCACGCCTCCCCCGCAGGGAGATGGCGGCGATTGTGGATGCGGCGCACGAGCCCGCCCCCGGTGCCAGGGACCTCACGGTGGCTGAGCTCAACGTGCGGGGCCCCTTCTTCCAGTACGCGGTACTGCTGAAGGCAAGCGCGCCGCGCCTGCCGTGCCCGCGTGCGGCCCCCGCCCCCGGCTGGCGCTTGTCGCGAGCGGGGCGGCGGCAGCTGCCTGGCGGCACCCCTCCGCCGCCTCCCCCGGCCCCACGCGCACCACACGCCAGCTGCCCTCCCTCACGCCTCTACACCTGGCCTCCCTCCCCCCCTCCCCCTCCCTGCAGCGCCTGTTCCAGATGTACAACCGCCTGCCCGACTACCAGCTGGTGCGCCTGGCGGTCACGCTGCTGGTGGGCGTCGTCTTTGGCTCGCTGGCGTGGGGCACCGGATCCGACACGTGAGTGGGGGGGGTGGGGCAGCCCGGCCTGGCCTGGCACGGTGGGGGGGACCAGCTTGGTGGTGGGGGTGGCCACCTGTGGGGGAGGCAGGCCTGGCACCTGCCATGCCTGAGCATTGAGCCCATGCATGCATCGCTGCATGCGCCGCGCCTGGCTCGCCGCCTGATCGGCCCGGTGCATGCCGCCCGCGACCCCGGCCCTGCGAGCGCGGCCCCTCACCTGCCTCCCACCCTCCCTGGGCCCTGCCGCCGCCGCGTGCGCCGTGTGCAGGAGCAGCCTGAGCGGCGTGCTGAACATCGCGGGCATGCTGTTTGCCTCCTCCCTGTTTGTGGGCTTCACCAACGCCATGACCGTGCAGTCGGCGGTGGAGGTGCAGAGGTGGGCGCATAGAGGGGCGGGGGGGGCGCAGGGATGCCCCGAGGCCTCTGCCCTGCGCAGCAGGCGGGCCATGCGACTGTTCCCCGCAGCTCCCTCTGTGCGCCCTCACCGCCCTCCCTCGATCTGCCTGCCTCAAATCTGCCTGCCATTACCTGCCTGCCATTCCCTGCTGCCTGCCTGCCTGCCCGCCACTACCTGCCCGCCATTACCTGCCCGCCATTACCTGCCTGCCTGCCTGCCTGCGCCGCAGGAATGTGTATTACCGGGAGCATGCGGCGGGCATGTACGGCCCGCTGCCCATGGCCATTGCCCAGGGCAACGTCGAGATCCCATACATCGTGGGCCAGACTGCCGTCTACTCGTGAGCACACAGCCTGGCTGTTGGTGCTGTGGCATGAGGATCCGCCTGCCCTGCGCCGCCGCTCGTGGGCGCGCGGCAGCGCCACGGGTTCGCCCTGGTGGCGGCTCTCTAACGCTCTGCCCCCTCCCTCCGCTCGCCGCCCGCAGGTGCATAGTGTACTGGATGGTCGGCTTTGCGGCCGAGGCATGTGAGTTGGCGGGTCCGCCGCATGCCGCATGCCGCACCCCCACACACCCGCCTGTAGTGTCTTGCTCCCGTGTGGGGCGGGGTTGGCGGCTCTCATGCCAGCCTGCCGCCCTCCCCGTGCCCCGACCCCTGCAGCCAAGTTCTTCTGGTTCCTCTTCATCTTTGGCATCACGCTCAGCATGTTCACCGCCTATGGAATGATGGTGCGTGGCGGTGTGGCGGCGTGTGGGGAGATGAGGAGCAGGGCGAGCGGTGGCATGTTTCGTGAACCGACATGCCCGCCCTCTCGTGTCCCCACCCGCCTGCCCGCCTGCGTGTGCAGTGCATCAACCTGACCCCCGACAAGGGGCTGGCCAACCTGCTCATGTCCTTCTTCTTCGGCTTCTGGAACCTGCTGTGCGGCTTCCTCATCCCACAGGCCTCCATCCCAGGTGAGCACGCACCTGGATGGGGAATGGCGCTAGGGCAAGGCACTGGTGGCGCGCCGTGGTGGCGGCTGCGCGGAGGGTTAGCAGCGCGGTTGCTGTCCTGTGCTGATGCCGGGATGCCTCCTGGGCCTGCAGGCTACTGGATCTGGATGTACTGGGCCAACCCGCTGGCCTACACGCTCTACGGTGAGCGAGCTCATGAACAGCAGCGCCTGAAGCGGGTTGCTGCGGCGCTGCTGCTTGCGCGTGCCCCTCCCCGCCGCCGCGTGACCCCACCCTCACCACCGCCACCGCCTCCTGCGCGCCCCGCTGCCCGCAGGCCTGATCGTGACGCAGCTGGGCAACCTGTGGGACACGACCGTGGAGTTCAACGGCGACCAGATCCCCATCCCTCAGCTGCTGGAGGAACGGTTTGGGTACAAGTACTCCATGCGCTGGCCCGTCACCATGATCCTCCTCGCATTCCTCGTCGTCTTCCGCGTCGCCTCCATCCTCGCCCTCAAGCTGCTCAACTTCCAAAACCGCTGAGGCAGCGCGCGGGTGCTGCCGAGCGGCGTGGCGGCTGGCTGGCTGGATGGAGTCTGTGCGGCGGGGCGCGCCGGCCTGGCACACACGGGCGGCAGGCAGAAGGCTGCCGCCGCGGTGCGGCGCCGATACTAAATCAAGTATCCCCTTAGTACCCCCTCTCTGTAGCGCCCACATTGTTCCACCCAGCAGCGCAGCCATCGGTCTCACGCCGCGCTTCGCACGTGCTGCATTTCTCCACGCGGCTAGCTAGGCTCGCTCCACCCCCCAACACACTTTGCACTACATTTCATTCAGGGCGCCTTCTTCTGCCTTCTTTTGAAACGTGAACCTCCTGCAATTTTTTTGCAACCGCGCCTGCCTCCTCGTGAGCTTAGGCGCCCCCTGTCTGCAAACCCTCTCCATGGTCCATTGCCACATAGGCGCCATCTGCCTGCCTGTCACCACTAGCAAGTTACACACAGCAAATGTAAATGCCTCCCAACCGCAGCGCCATGCCAGTGCTCAGCTGGGGGGCTGCAGCTGCAGCCCCTTGGGGCGCACCGCGCTGCGCCCCAGCAGCACCGCCCGCAGCGGCCCCGACTGCCGGATCAGGGCCGCCGGCCCGCCGCTGCTGCCAGGCCCTGCCGCCGCCGCGCCAGTAGGAGGGGTGGTGGGTGCAGTGAGCAGCCAGGGGAGCGCCAGCACGCAGAAGCTGGCAGGCGGGATGGGGAGGGGCGCGGCAAGGCTGTACTGGAGCTGCACAGTGACGACGCTGCCGCCGGCCTTGCCTGCGCCTGCTGCTGCTGAGGTGGGTGTGGCGACAGGAGCCAGCATGCTCGCCGGTACCTCCAGCTGCAGCTTCGGATCGGCTTCCAGCGGTACAGCCACATCAGGCGTGCCAATGAGCAGCCGCCGCAGCTGCAGCCACACGGGCCGCTCGCCGCCGGAAGCGGCGGTGGGGCCCCCAGGAGCGCTGCGCCGCTTGGCGCTGCCCGCCAGCCGTGTCAGCTGGTCGGCGGGCAACTGCAGCCAGAGGGGCAGATCCTGCTGCAGCAGAAAGGCGGCCGCCGCCGTGGGCGCCGTCGACGCTCCTGCCGCGGCAGCGGCGGCGGTTCTGGGCTGGGAGGCGGCCGCCGCTGGCGGGGACTGCTGCCGCACCGAGACTTCATCCAGCGAGCTCTGAAGGGCTGCCGCCAGCAGGGCGGGCGTCAGCAGCAGGCGCTGCCCCTGAACTGACTCATACTCCACACCAAGCAGCACCGTAACCTGCTCCGTGCCCGCCGCGCCTGCTGCCACGGCAGCCGCAGCGGCCGCCGCCGGCCCGGCCGCCGCCGCGCCTGCTGCCACGGCAGCCGCAGCGGCCGCCGCCGGCCCGGCCGCCGCCGCGGCAGTCGCTGCCGGCGACGCCGCCCCCGCTGCCACTGCTGCCTGCAGCTTGCCGCTGCGCTGCTTGCTGGGCCGCGCCGGCTGCGGCTTGCCATCCTTGTTGGCAGCAACAAACAGAGGTGCCCTGGCGGAGGCCGCCGGCGGCTTCAACCCCGGCCAGCTCAGCACTGCAGGCAGCTGCACCTCGGACGCCGCCTTGCCCTCAGCAGCCGCGGCGCCACCGCCGCCCGCCGCTGCCTCTTTGGGCCGCAGTTTCTTGCCGCCCGGCCGGCGGTGCTGCTGCTGCTGCTGCTGCTGCTGCTGCTGCTGCTTGACCTGCTGCAGCGAGGGGAACTCCTCGTCCTCTGCCGCCGCCGCTGCCTGGGCTGCCGAGCGTGCTGCCTGCTGCCCAGGCTTCAACGGCACAGCCACCTGCACGCCACACACGCAGGCACGGTTCAAACAGCTGGAGCGACCTGGCGCAGAACACAGGGCATGGTGCCCTGGGCAAGGCAACATGCCGCCAGCGCCGCCGCCGGGCATGGCATCGCCCGCAGCCGGCCGGCCGCCAGCGCCCGCCCCGCCCACCTGCACGGGCAGCGAGGCCAGCATGACGCCGCCGGCGCGCAGCCAGCCGGGCTGCCCATCCATGAGCAGCGCAGCAGCCAGCGCCGGTGACTTGTACATCGAGCGAGGCCCCAGAACGTGCAGCTCCAGCCAGCAGCCCGCAGCGGGCGCCCCCGCAGCCGGCGCAGACGCCCGGGCGGCACCCCCGGCCCCGCCGCTGCCCTTGCCGTCGGCGCCAGGCGTGCGCCCGGCCTCCTCCTCGCCGCTGCTGTGCCCGTCGCCGCTGAGCCGCCCTCTGCCAATGGCCTCAGCCTCCGCCTCCGCCTCTAATGCCGCTGCCGCTGCCGCTGGCCCCGCCGCCGCTGCCGCCATGTCTGCGGCCGCACCTGCATGCTCCCCGCCTGCTGCACCAGGCCTGCCCAGCGCTGCCTGGCCTGCCACGTCAGCAGCCAAAGCCCCAGGGCCCGCCAGCCTCCGCACGTAAAACTGGGCTCGCGCCGCTGCGGCGCTGCAGTCTGACGCGACCGCCGCCGCCGCTCGCTGCAGCTCTGCCACGGTGAAGGGCTCGGGGATGGTGTGCTGCTGGCCGCCGCTGCCGCTGGCAAGAAGCAGCTGCGGCGCGGCGGCGCCAGCGCCGCCGCTGCTGCTGGCGTGTGCTTGCTGCTGCGAGTCGTGGGCTGGCAGGCAGCAGGGGTTGCCTGCAGCAATCCAAGAGGCAACAGGAACCCTTTGGTGGGCTGGCATGCTGGGCAGCAGGCACGGCAGCAGCACCAGCAGCAATCATCGGAGGCAGGGGCGGCACCCACCCACCCAGGAAGCTGACAGCGTCGCACTGCATGTGCCCATCCCGCCAGTAGGCGCTCAGCTGCTGCTGCAGCGCCTCGGCGCCGGCGTCGGCGGCGGGGCCGCGGGCCAGGCTGCGGTACAGGCACAGCGCCGCCTGCAGTACAACAGACACAAGGACAACAGGGGCTGCATCTGAGGAGGTTTGCTGACCGATCCCCTATGCCACAGGATGCCAGCATGTCTGCGAGAGCAGCACACACACACACACACACACACACACACACACACACACACACACACACACACCTGCAGCGCCACGGTGTGCCCAGCGGCGGGCAGCAGCGCTGGGGTGTTGCGCCGGTAGGCGTCTGAGGCCACCGCCGCCGCCCGCTTGCAGCTGGCGTGTGAGAAGTCCCAGACGACGCGGCTGCAGGCAGACTGCCAGGCCGCCGCTGCCGCCGCTTCCGCTGGCACCGCCACATCGGCTGCTGCCGGCCGGGAGGCGGTTCCAGCCGGGGCCGGCGCTGCGGCTGCCTCGAGCACAGCGGCCAGCGTGGCGACCGCCTGGCGCCAGCTCACCAGCGCCTCCTCTTGGGTGCCGCCGCCAGCCACGGCCGCCACGGCCGCCTGCTGGGGCGCCAGCGCGGCCGCCACGGCTGCCGCCGCTGTCGCGGCGGGCTTGCCCGCCTGCTGCTGCTGCCGCTGCTGGGTTGGTGGCGCCAGCAGCTCTGCCAGCGCCTCTGCCACGAGCTGCTCCTGGCTGCTGCTGCCCAGGTGCTCAGGCAGCGGCAGCAGCATGGGGGCGGCGGCGGGCAGCGTGCAGAGCGCCCGTGCGCTGCCGTCGTCTGGGTACAGCACGCGGCAGCGCTTGAGGAGCTGGGCCAGCGGGTGGTGTGCGGCCTCCTCTGCCGACAGCGCCGGCGCCGCTGGCGTGCTGATTGGCTGGCCCTGGTGCTGCCGCGGGGGCGCAGAGGCAGGGGGGGGCTGCGCCAGCACCAGCAGCTGCGGGACGCATAGCCCCGGCACGGCGGCGGTGGCCTCTGCGGCCGCCACGCCCAGCAGCGCCGGCAGCGCCGGCAGCAGCGCTGACTTGAGCTGCTGCAGCAGGCGCAGCTGGCTGAGCAGCTGTGTGGAGGCCAGCGCCCGCGCCGGCTGCACCCACAGCACGGCGTGCGAGGTGAGGAACAGGAGGAGCAGCGCCCGCGTGGCATCCGCCTCGTGCTCCTGCAACCATCCGGGCAGGGGCGCCAGAAGGGGACGGAGTGAGGCGTGGGAGCAGTCACCTGGGCAGGTGTGCATGTGTTTGAGGGTGGGCTTGCGGCCAAGGCGATGGCCGCCGGGCAGCAGGCGCCGCCTCACCCGCGCCTCGTCTCTGGACAGCACAGCCCCGGCAGCCGCCTGCGGCACTGCCGCCGCCGCCAAGCCCATCCACAGCGTGTCGCTGGCAGCGTCGTGATAGCAGACACAGCGCTCGGCAAGCCAGCCCTGCGGCTGCAGAGCCGCTTGACGCGGCAGCACAAGGGCGTGGGGCAGCGAGCACCCCGCCAGGCGGCCCACCGCCGCCGATGCCCCCTCCAGCGTGTCCCCTGCGATGGGCGACAATGAAGGACGTTGTTGACGATGAGTGTGTCGCAGGGGGCTTCACAACAAGCAGAAGCAGAAGTGGTACTCGGCTGCGAGTCCGAGAAGGCGGCGGCAACAGCCCTGATCTGTAGCATGCTCAGTCAGTGGATTGTCGATGAAGGGGCGCACCTACGACTCCGACGACGAACATGGCGAAGGAGGTTGGCCTCGCTACTACCGCTAGGTGGCCGAGGACCCCTTTGGCATCATCCTGGGGTCTATGGTAGTCCAGGGTAGCGGTCCAGGGTAGGCCGCTGGCGCCCTGTCAGCCGAGCCCTTGGCGCCGGCCTGTGACGCACATGTTGCGTCACTTTCATCAGAGGCTCCACACCCTCTCTTTCAGCACCCCGGACTGGACAGACATTCAGACAGGCAAAGGGCATGTCCTGCATAGGGGTGCGTGGCCGGTGGGTCACGCTCGGTAGCGTTCGGAAGCGTCAGCGGCGATAAATGTATGGTGTATGGGGTCCCTTAATCAGGCCTGATATCTTTGCTGAGATTTTTTCTGGGATCCAATTCAACTGGGAGCCTCTGAACCAATGTAACAATCAGCGCAAAGCGCGTCTTCGCCGTGCCGCCAGCGGCGGCGGCGGCGGCGGCGGCGGCGGCGGCCCAAATGGGCATCCAGTCAAGAGGCACCGATGCAGGTTGGCATTGCATGACATGCAGGCCCTCGTTCCGTACTCGACGGTGCCTGCAAGCTCCGCTTCCTCGCTCTTCCAACCGCCCGGGCGCCAGCATGGAACGCGTTTTTCCAAAATGCTTCTCCAGGCGCCCGTCCGGCGCCCTGCGCTGCTAGATCGAGCTCTCGTGCAGCTGCAGAACTTCGTGATCATCCCAGCTGCCGCTATTGGGTGCGTGGGCTTCAAAACTGAGATGCTGGGTGCCGCCTGGCGGCGGCCTCCTTTGGCCCTGGGCCCCGATCACGCTCGCCTGATCGATCCGGGCATGCTGGGAGGGCCCGGGCGGCCCCTGGAGGGGAGCGGACTTGCTAGCGCGCCGTGCTCGGGAACCCCAGGCTTAGGCCAGCCAGCTGAGGCGGCGGCCCTGCTGCATCGTGACTTGCAGGTCGCTGAGATTGCGTAGCGTGCCGCACCCCCGTCTGCACATTTTGCCATGGCCCGCTGGCGCACCGCGGCGGTGCTGCTCGCCCTCATGGCCTGCACCAGCCTTGCGGCCGCCCGCAGCTCCAGCGCCCAAAGGGCCCAGAAGCGGTGAGGCTGGGGGTTTGTTGCGTTGCCAGGGGAGGCTGGGCCCCCAGCCGGGCGGCCTTTTTCATGCGCCTGGTCCCCCACCACTCCCGCCTGGCGCCCACCCCCCCGGCGCCCACCCCCCCGCAGGCGAGGCCTGGAGGAGAACGAGGGGTGGGTAGACGTGAAGGTGGTCAACCGCTGCAGCGAGCCCGTGGTGTTCAAGGCGGGGTACAACTTCTGGAAGGGGGTGGACGAGGGGCACCCCTGCCCCAACAAGGGCCCCGGCTCCAACGCCGACCTCTCGGTCTGCACCACCGACTGGCTCACCATCGAGTGAGCGGCGCCGCCGGGCCCGCCGTGCCGGCGCCGCCGCCGGGGGGTGTGCTTGTGGCTGCACATGTGTCAGGGGCGAGGGACGGGGAGAGGCGGCTGAGCAGGGCAGCCTCTGCGCCCTTGCCCTCGCCATCCCCGCCTGCGACATCCGTGGCGTCTGCCCCGACCCTCGTCCTCGCCCTCGCCACCTCGCCCGCTCCCTCTGCCGCAGCGCCAACACCAGCGCCACATTCAAGGAGCTGCCCGACCTGCTGTGGTGGTTCTCCGCCTTTGTGGAGGACGCCGACCCGGCCGTCTTCATCTCCAAGCAGTCCGCCGAGGCCTTCCTGGGCGGCGACGACGACTACAACGCGGAGTGCAACACGCCGCAGGAGGGCACCTGCGTGTGGTGGGCCGTGGTGAGCGACGCGGCGAGGCAGGCGGCGGCAGCAGCAGCGGCAGCAACCGGCCCGCCACCGCCGTTGCTGTTGGATGCGGCTGCATGAGTCGCTTGTGGGCCCTGGTCCTCCATCCTGCCCACCGCCTCCACCGCCTGCCGCCCCACCGCCTCCAGCCCTCTCAGCCGCTCCCTCGCTCCGCCACCTGTCCCTGCCGGCCGCTCCTGCCCGCAGCCCAAGACCCGGAAGGCCGGCACGCGGCTGGTGCTGAGGTGCCCGGAGCTGGACGGCGCCGCGCCGCCGCCCGTCAACGAGACGACGGTGGAGATGGTGAACAACTGCTCGGTCGCGGTCAAGGTCAAGGCGGCCTACTCGATGACCGAGGACGACGACGGCGCGGGCTGCGTGATCAACACGTGGCTGGGCAAGGACAACCACTTGTGAGCGGCAGGCTGCATGGCTGCATGGCTGCCACCTGTGCCTGCATGGCTGCCCGCCTCGCCGTTGCCGGCCGGCCTGCTTGCCTGCCCGGCTGCATCCCTGCAAGCCTGGCTGGCCCGCCCGCGTGCCGCGACCCGAGCCCCGCCCGCCTTTCCCGCTGCCTTCCCCCTCCCTGCCCGCCGCAGGTGTGTGACCGACTGGCAGACGTTGGAGGCGGGGGAGAAGCGCTACCTGGCCGCCACCGCCAGCGACTACTGGACCTACGGCGCGCACATCGCGGGCGGGTGGCTGGCGGGCCTGGGTGGGCGGCCGCGCGCCCGCCCGGTCGCGGCGGGCAATCTGCCATGGCCTTCGCCATGGCGGCAATGGCGCTGAGCTGGCTGAGCTGGCTGAGCTGGCTGTGCCGTGCCCTGTGCCCACCCATGTGCAGCCGATACCGGCTACGACCTGGCCAAGCGGGTGCCGGGCGCGTTCCAGGGCAGCAACGAAACCACCGGGTGCCCCGAGGAGGACCCATACGGCTCGGGATACGTGTGCGAGTGGTGGGCGCCGGTACGTGGCGCGCCGGCGGCAGCGCGGGCAGCGCGAGGTGCCGCGGGGCGGCAGGCATTGTTGGGCTAGGGCCACATGGAGGCACACACGCGCGTGCGGTGGTGGCTTGGCAAGCCCGGAGCTTTTGGCCACCTGCCCGCCCTCCGCTCCCCTCCCGTGCTGCAGACGTATGACGTCAAGCCCAGCGACTTTGACGCCTCGGTGCCGGTGAGCATCACCTGCGACGACTACACGCCGCCCAACTGAGCGGCTTGGCGGGGCGGCGCCAGCCGGGCCGCTGCGCGTGGCCCTGGCGGCGGACCGGGGCCGGGCCGCAGCGCCGCCTCGTTGGCTCCTCGCCTGCCCTCCCGCCACCCTCACCGCTGATTGTTCTACCTGTCAGTCTGTACACGCACCCGACCATTCCTTCCGCGATTGCCACGCGCACACCCCACTTTTGCAGCCGCGCAACCACTAGCCTCGCCACTGGCCCCAGCCATTTTGCCCGCTAGGTACCCCCATCCTGCCCACCTACCCATTGCCACTCTATAGACCAGGATCATCTAGGATGCTCGATTCCAAGGCACGCCTCCCCTAGTGTAGTTTCCTTCCTCTCGCACCGACATGCGTCGTCGCTGTTCCAGCCCCCGCCCCATTTTGCGCGCCCCGATTGGTCGTTGCTGAATGAGCACTGACAGATTCCGTGATCCCCTCTCTGCTTGCACCCATTTGAATGATACTAAACAGTTTATTTGTTATGTAACCAGCCCTCGTCACCCCCCTGGATGTTGGTGCCTGCGCCGGCTGTGCTCACCAGCGGCGGCGGTGCCAACCACTGGGATGTGGGTGTGGGCCAACCGCCACCACCTCTGCTGCCCGCTGCGCACTGCCATGCACTGCCATCCATTACCAGCGGGCCGCGGGAGCTGAAAGAGAGAGGACGGGAAGGGACGGGTCACAATGCCGGTTTGTGCCAGGCGGCTTCCGGAACGAGCAACGTGAAGAGGCCGCTTTGAAAGCTTACTCAGCCTGTCTTAGACTCATTCCCTTGACAATACAGAGCAGCAAGGCCGACTTTGCGCAGGTGAGAGCGTGGTTTGGCCGCTGGCTGCACGGATACTTCACCCCTGCGCGGCACACCGGCTTTCCTGCGCCCGCCAAACGTGTGGTGTGAGGTTTCACGAAGTTAGGGGCCTGCAAACCCGCTGGGACGGGAGCCATCTCGCGTGGGCCCCTCCGGTTGCTCGTCTGTTGCACCTCTCCTGCTCGTGCCGCCTGCTGCAGAGGATCCTCCTGGACCCCTAGACTCCTCCGAAAAGAGCAGGCCGGCGGCGGGGCGGCGGGTCATTGGTCGGTTTGCTGTGGGGGGCGGCGCTCCTGCTGGCAGCCACGTCTGTCACCTCTGCGACGCGTGTGCCTTCCGCCTTCCTGGAAGACAAACCTCGCGTCAACCACAGCGACTATGAATATCATGCTGACGACGTAGACGACATCCCGTGGGCCAAGTGAGACACAGCCCTCCGCACGCTTGTGCCTGTTCACGGCCACCGCTCCCGGCGCACACAGTGGCATAGCACTCACCACCACACCCACGCTGCTTCCCTGGATGCAGGGCCTGCCAGGACATCCTGCAGCATGAGCGGTCGCTGCTGGGCGAGCCCCAGGGAGAGGCGCAGTGGGCGTCAGATGTGCACTTCCAGTCGTCTGCCGCACATCTTGGCGCCTTGTAAGCTCCTGCTCAGCCTTCCGGCTTCCTGGCCGTCACTCGATCGTGCGTTTTGTTTGTACTGCCCCTCATGTACTCCCTATCTCCCTAATAATGCGGACGTTACGCCCCGCCCTTACCCGCCAGCCATCGCCACCCCCCAGCACACACACACACACACACACCGTGCTTGTGCCATAGCCAACCAATGCCTGCCTGTGCATGATCCCTTGACTCACGCATGACACACGCACGATTTCATGGCCGGTCTTGTGACCCTTTCCTCGTCAAATGCCTTACATTTCATGAGTTTGCGGACCGGTGTAGGCGGTGGGTGCGGACCGTGCGGACCCTGGCATTCGGTCCGCAACCTTCAAAAATGCGCCAGGAAATGTGGCAGGCCAACTCCGCCCTGACAGCGCGCTGCGGCCCCCGCCCGCCGCATTTCCACTCCACCTGAGATCACAAAGGCCTTAGGAACCCACACCCTGAGCGGCCGTCCAGCCCTGCGGCCGCACGCCCATCAGGGCCATCCCACACTCCGCCCCCTGTCCTTTCCCCGGCCCGCCTGCCGCTTTTCCTCTTGCAGCATCGTCTCCCAGACTCTCCAGCGGCCGAGTAGCGAACTCGGCGCGCTGCGCCATGGCAGACAATGGCCCTCAGGGGGATGGCAGCAGCTGCCCTACCTACGTCCCGGATCCAGCTTTGTGGGCAACGCAGATCCCCTACAGCCCGCCGCAGCAGTCAGGCGGGAGGCCGCCCTCGCCGCCGCCCGCCGCCGCCCAGCCTGCAGCAGCAGCAGCCGAGTTCTGGGACGCAGTTCTGGGCTGGACGGCGGCCCATGACCCCCCGGGATGCCTTGACGACGATGCTGGCCGTGATGACAGACACTGCGCCATTGGCGCGGTTCATGTCCGGGCATGACAACTTTGCCGCGGCTTTTCAGAAGGACAATGTGAGAGCAAGGCTTTTCGGCGTGTCCTCTCAATTGAGCCATGCTAAAATCCATCTGCCCTCTGGCGTTGCTTGCCCCCCATCTGGCTAAGCCACCATGGTTTTCTGTGCTTTGAACAGGTGGACATGGAACTGCTGCACCAGCACCAGCAAACAGCCCTAGAGCAGCTGAAGGCCACCGCCGAGGCAGCAAATGCGGCAGATGAGGAGCCCAGCCCACCAGCAGAGGAGTTGGAAGAGGTTCAGGCGGCAGCTGTGCTTGCTGTCTTGAGCCCCGGCGGCGGCAAGCGGACAATCAGCCGAGCTGGTGACCCATTGCAGCCGTGCGAGCTGAACATGGATGCAGCCCTCGTGGAGGAGGTGGCTGCACCAGCCCAGCAGCAGCAGCAGCAGTTCCACCACCAGCAGCAGCAACCTAGCATGCCACAGCAGCAGGGCACAGCTGCCCAGCAGGAGCAGCAACAGGGCATGCTGCCGAGCATGCCGCAGCCGCACGGCACAGCTGCCCAGCAGCAGCAGCAGCAGCAGCAGCAGCAGCAGGGCATGCTGCCAAGCATGCCGCAGCCGCACGGCATTGCTGCCCAGCATCAACAGGGCATGATGCAGCAGCAGGGCACAGCTGCCCAGCAGCAGCAGGGCATGCTGCCAAGCATGCCGCAGCCGCACGGCATTGCTGCCCAG